CAATATTCTTTGTAGCAATTTCCTTGTGAGGCCATTTTGATGCAAAGCGATGATGGCTGCACGTGTTTCTTTGGAGGTAACCATTGCTAACAAGAACACAATGATTGGAAGCGCTTCTTCCCTCCTTTTATAGCAATCGGTCTGCTCTTACAATCTAATTAGTATGATAGTGATTACACCTGACTAGTACTCATTCACACTTTCACATGTGCTGCTGATATGATTAGTCAATTAATGTTAGCTGGTCATTTTGTGTCAGGATCAAAAAACAGTGAAATTTGTTTTTTGTGTGTGTGTGAAAAGTGCATTTTTTGGCCAATGAAGCTTTTAGCAATTATTTAAAATGCATCTGATCACTCTATACTATGATCTAGAAAAAATGTGAATGAACACCACAACAGCTTAAGCAGCAAACTTTGCAAAACACAATTTGTCACTGCCAAAACTTTTGGCCATGACAGTATATTTGTTTACAAACAATGATTCCTCAATGAAACACCACTAATTATTATATCTTTATAATTATACTTACTATAGACTATTAATGACTTACAATTTACTGTAGTAATTAATACAGAGACACTCATTTGGGCAAATAGCACTAATGACTTGTTTAGGACTTGAAGCTTAAAGTTGAGGACTTGCAACTCGACTTGGACTTGCCCGTCTTGACTCGGGACTTGACTTGGGACTTGTCTGTTTTGACTTGGGACTTGACTCGAGACTTGAATGCAAAGACTCGAGACTTAAGGCCCAATCCCAATTCTATTTTATACACCTTCCCCTGAAAATATTACCCTAAGAATTGGGACACCACTACTATACGTCACACGTCATTATACGTCGTCTAGCTCATACAATACACACACCTATACTGGTGTGCATTAGAGTCTTTAATTACCGTTCTATATTAATGTGCTGCTTATTGACACACACACACATCAGATATCGCGCAGGTCACACATCCACGAGCAAAGAAACTTGTCAACGCTGCCCCACAAATTTGATTAATAACAGTTTAAATACTGAATCGCTAAATTATATTTTCCACTAACGAGAGGATAAAATCGCTGTTTTTGAAGTAAACTCACTCTAAAAAGACTGTGCACTCTGCACAGAAGCGCATACATGCAACTTTCATCTCTCTCTCTCGGTCTCTCTCTCTCGAATTGGGAATATTTGAGTAAAGGGTTTAGCGATTTATAATTATTGGGGTACTAGCCCTCCTCAATGTCTATGGTGGTTATTGCCCCGATCAGACATAAAAATGTTGTGGCACTATCGTGCAGTCTGTAATGATATGACGTTAGCAAACTTTAGTGATTTTTTGCAAACATTTCTTTGAGTAACATGACTAGGGGTGCTCCGATTGATCGGCTACCGATCACTATCGGCCGATATTCACGTTGGGATGATTGATCGGCGGTCTCTAAAAAGGCCGATCTCAAAAAAAATTATCTCAAGCTGATGACGCTGCCATGAGAGGTTTGGCATGACATGCAGCGGCACCGTCTCAGTCTCTGTCCGGCGCGGGTGAAATCATTATAATGCTGAAAATGAGGTACTCACCTTCATATTTCTTCATTAGATAACTTAAAGTAATTTGAAAACATTGTGTGAGACATAATTTCACAAACAGCGAGAGTGAATGACCACGCATGCGCTTTCTCAAAATACACAAATGTCTTCAAATCACCACATTTACATAATGCCAGGTTCACATTACTCCATTTGCAGTGCGTATGTGGTGCGTATCATTTCTGCGCTCATGTTAACGGATTAATAAAGCGCGCACACTGCACAGTGTTGCTGTCCAGCAGTGCGTTCCACGAGCGGTGCGTCTGCAGCATTACAGAGATGGTTTCCGTACCGAGTCTATATTCTTGCTGCGCTGCAAGCAATTTTTGCAGTAAATATGAACATGGATTGACACGAAAATGTAGTAATTCAATAAAAGAAATTTTCATTATATTAATTCAAAAATAAGTTAAAAACTTTTCAAATTGACAAATAGATTTAAAACAAATTCATGTACTTGTTTAAAAATGTAGCTAAATGTAACAATAATAATAATAATATACATTGATAAATAATTTTAATTGCTTTCCTTAATCTATTTATAAAAATGCTTTTTAATATTTCGGCAATAAACAATTATATTTTTTCAAAAATACATTTACATAATATTTAAACATTAATTAAATTATTTTAAAAATCGAATTTATTTGTTTTATTGTTTCAAATAACCATTCATTTGTCAATTTGAAAAGTTTATTTTTAACCATACACTCTCATGAATCCACTTCAGTCAAGTTTGTGTGCCAAGAGCCAAATCAGAATAAAATGCTTCTTGCTTCTTCAAAGACCTCAAACAACACACCAATGGATACCTTCCAACATGCCAGTGTAAGAGAAAAGCTACATCGTTTTGCAGCTTTCTCAGTGCAAGCAAACACAATCGACAAACACAAAGCATAGGTACACGACACGTGGCCATGATAGCCACAAAAATGTCTTTACACGTAAGCTTGGAATGGTCTGCTTGGATACGGTCTCCTTCTGTTGTGATATTTTTTCTTAAGGTTTTTTCCTTAGCAGCCACAGTAGCATTTTCTGAAGGGAAGAAAGTTATATGAATACCAATAAATAAAAAGGCATATATGCGCACACATAGAAAGATAATTATAAAACGGATAGTTCCGGTCCTTGATTCTGATTGGTTGGTTGATTATCCCGCTTATTCCATGGTCATTTGCCAAGTTATAGACAAGTTAAAACTAGCATTGCTCTCTGCAGCACAATATTTGACCGCATGGGTAAAAATGACAGTTATTTTTGTCAGTTACGGCACGTTAGCGCTAGCATTCTGCCCACTTCAAATCATCGTCTGCATGTCTCTCTGTACAAACAATTACTTAAAAAACAATTTTACCACCTGGTTGCTGGGGAATATAATGTAGCGATCTAGTATCTAGGCTATTTTATTAATGAAAATCACGGGGAAGTGTTGACAACAAGTTTGTGTGTGTGTGTGCAGCCCAATCAGCAATCTCTGACCTCTCTCTCTCTCTCTGTGTGCGATTACCGATGTCCTTACTACGTTTCTGGACCTGGGAACATTACAGTTGCGTTGCTATCTAAGCAGGGTCTGAGAGCTCTCACATTTCATCAAAAATATATTAATTTGTGTTCCGAAGATGAACGAAGGTCTTACGGGTTTGAAACGACATGAGGGTGAGTAATTAATGACAATTTTCATTTTGGGGTGAACTAACCCTTTAATATCATTATACTTTATTTGCTCTGTATTATTTTGTGAAACCTTACTACGTATTTGGAATAACCGTTTTATAAAAGCAATAAGCCCCGTGAAGCCGTGGTTTACAGTGAATTTATGACAGCTAAGGGAGTTGTAGGGGTTGTAACAATGCCCCTTAGCTGCTATAAATTCACTGTAAACCATGGCTTCTTGGGGCTTATTGCTTTAATAAACGCTGACTATCAGTAGAGAACACTACAGCACGTATTAATAACCACTGTATATATGCCAAACACTTTACACTTACCTGATATTCCCAAAAGAAAAAACACACACACACACACACACAAACCTTAAAACTTAATTTTATCCACAGATTGTAACAACGAATTCTGGGAGCAAATCAGTGTGAAGCTCGCAAGCAGGACAATTTGTGGAGTCACTTCACCCTGCAATGTGAGTTTATTGTAGAAAGCATATGTTCATGTGAAGCTTTAGTGGAAATTATTTCCACTCTGTCTCCACATTCATAATTATTATTTTTTTTATAATAATAAAAAAAATGCTTACAAAATTTGGTAACAAATCTGCCACACCAAATGCCAGTGATAATTCTGAATCTAATTCTGAACTATATAAGTTTATAACTGAAAAAAAAAAAAGAACTATGAGCTATGAGATGCCAGCCTCACTAACACAAAACCAAACAGTTTCATGCTAAGTATTTGCTAACACCGTCAAATGACAGGAAACCTCAAATGCAGACACACTTCTGCATTTGATAGTGGAGGAGTATACTACCATGTTCATGGCATCCTCACATTTAAATTGAGTGACACAGAAAAAGCTTGTTTAGACCACTTATCTTAAGTCTCAAAATAAATAAGGGAGATAAAAAACAGAGAGATAGAAAGTGTTGACACTTTTGAATGGGTTGTCACCTCAGTCAGTCATGCCAGAAAAAAGCCACATACACAAGTAAATCTCACTCACCCAACAAAACTTTGGCATCTTCTACATCAAAGTCTCCATCGCCATCAGCATCATATACTCCTCCAAGAGCACCTTTCATTGAACAAGGATAAAAGAAAATACTTGTGAAACGAGCAAGTAAAGATGCAGAGTAAAGAGGGTACAACACAGTAACACGGTAAACCAAATGCATTTCCAAACGTAATTTATTGCCCCAGACCCTGTTTGTGCTTTTGTTGTACATCCTTTTGCATCCACAATGGACCATGAGGTTGTTAAGGCTCATTCACACGGAGCATGACTTAACAGTATACATCTCTGGTTTGGGCAATAAAACATTGATTCCTGATGGGTGTGCATTTTCTATTCTGTTTGTCCCCTCATAAATCAATCAGCAAACCAAAGACTAATTTGCATGAAACTAAAAAAACTAAACAAACAAAAAAAACATTTACATTTATCTCATGTTATTATGATCAATATTATGACAGACAGCTAGAATAACTAGATTAATTTATGGTTTATGACCCTCTCTATAACCTGGTGTGTGTATCATTACTGGTCCTACCATTTAATTAGAAGTTTTTATCAACCAAGCTATGCAACAAGATAATCAATATTTACACACTTTGTGATCAACAGAAGTGTCTGATTCGGACAGAAAATGGAAAAGTTTGTTAAACTTTGCAGTTCATGCTATAGTTAAAATAAGGTCTTATATATAAAACATTCTATAGAAAAACATTTTCTTATATAGTAAAACCTTGTGTTATTTCACCCAACCCTAAGGCTGTGTGTCCACCAAAGCATTTTTAACCAGCTGAGAATGCCAGGAGCTCTACTGACAATGCTTAGCTGTGAGTGCTTGAGGGCACAGCATTTTAGAGAAATATGGCAGACACATGCTTCTCCCAAGCATTCTTTTTCATAACAATATTGTGGTAGTACGGGAACTCCATCTGGTGAAAACATGAATACTCGGAGACAAGCAATATTAAGTTCTCCATTGGTGTTTAGTCATACAAGCAGGGTGTAACAGTTGGTCGGTGTTGTATTAGTCCCACACCTCCCCCACTGTGATTGGCTAGCTGACTAAAAAGTGACAATGATGAGTGCTGCATTTTACCCAAAGGTGAATATTCTTGAACTCTCATCGGCGAGAAAAAAAATGCCAAGCACACAACACTTAGCATAAAATAAATGCTCAGCGCCTTGTCACGTTCCTGGCATTTAAAAAAATGTGGCGCTCTTATTGAAAACAACTGGGAAACAAAAATACAGTAGCCTTGGGAAAAAAACACTTTGGTGGACATTCCGTCTAACACTCTTAAAGGTGCACTAAGCAATTTTTGAAAAACGCTTTTGACTGCAGTGTCGGACTGTGTCCCAAAACACATTTGCAGCCAATCAGCAGTAAGGGGGCGTGTCTTGTATAGAGAGAAGAGAGCACTCAATTTGAGTGTACAGGACGGATATTAGCAGATCGACTATAGATAGAGAGAACTGGAAGATAAAAAAAGATGAAAATATCGGAGGAACAAAACATTTAAAAGAAGGGTTACGATCAGGCAAGAGGTAGGACCCGCGTAAATATCGGAGCAGCTTTCCAGCGGTGGAGAGAACTCAAGGAGCGGGAAGGCCTAATCGAATGCCGAGGTTGCGTTGTTTCTTTGTGATAGGTGAGTAATGTTGATTTTGCATTGTTTCACACAACTCATCTGTGTTGGCTTTTGTTTGAATATGCTTGTGTGTCATCTTCGCTTGTTTCAACGATCGTCGTTATGCCAGGGTTGTGTACGTATGTGTGGGGCAGAGATTTCAAAATAGGGGCGAGGTCCTGTTGGGATATGGGCGTGTTTGTTTTGGTGCTTTCAAATATCAACATTGTTTGGCAAAAATCGCTTAGTGCACCTTTAAGCACCTGTGGGGGATTTTGTAGAGACAAGTTGAGCAACACTGCCCTTTACAGGAGGGCATTTAAGGAGGTTGTCCTCCTGGAGTTAAATAGGACAGATGTGACAATTTGTTATGAACTTGTACACTCAATGCCAAGAAGGGAAGAACAGTATACTTAAAAGTTATGAAGTACATACCAAGTACTTGAACATTACACAGTTATTGTATTCAATCAAGGGTGTTTCTGCAACCCTTTATTTAAGCAATATAATTTACTATTTGTTTTATATTTAAATTTTGTCATCTTTCCATGAATTGTATTACTAATCATTAAGGGAAAAAATAATACAAGAAAAAAATGAAGAAAAAATACAGGGAAAAAGTATTTTTTTTCCCAGGAGGAGTGTTTTCAGGGGATCTCTCATATACACACACACTTTTACAATACTATAAAAAATGTTGACGCAAACACTCCAGAGATCTGCGTGAATCATTTAGGTGACAATTTGTTTGTTCAAAAAATGAATAATTTTACCACAAAATGTGAGCAGTCTACATTCCTGCAAGACTGTTTTAAAAAAAAAAACTTACCAACCACACTGTTGTAGTCAACTAGGTCAAACCACATGACACCCACAGACAGCCAAGCCCCCAGCAAAGCCAGCACCAACAGCCAGCTAAAGAAAGAGTTTCCCTCTGTCTTTTTTTCACTCTTAATGGCTGCATTTCCACCTGGAGAGTCTGGGAAGACACACATACAGAATCAGATATGAGATACTCAAAACTACAGTCTCTGTCAGAAGCTATCATTCTAAGTTAAATGCAAACTAAATGTACACTGAAAAACTGAATTCAGAATTAGAATTAGAAACAGATTAGTTTTTCAAAAATGCTAGTTAAACAAATACAAAAAGCAATTATTTTAATGTAATATAACCAAAAAAAAAAAAAACACTAAAGTATCGATTCACCCAAAAATGAAAATTCTATTATCATTTTCTTACCCTCATGTCATTCCAAATCCATAGGACTTTTTTTCATATTCAGAACATTAATGATTTCCCTCACCCCATTTAAAAAAAAAAATGGTACTATGGTTTGATAAATATGTGAATATGTGCTGAACACTTATCTTCTCAATAACAAAATAAACACAACAAAAATGAGTGGTGAGAAAACAGCAGTTAAAGGGGTCATATGATGTTGCTAAAAAGAACATTATTTTGTGTATTTGGTGTAATGAAATGTGTTTATGCGGTTTAAGGTTCAAAAAACACATTATTTTCCACATACTGTACATTATTGTTTCTCCTCCATGCCCCGCCGTTCTGAAACGCGGCGATTTTTACAAAGCTCATCGGTCTGAAAAAGCAAGGTGTGCTGTGATTGGCCAGCAACGGTCCTCCATAAAATGTGCTGCACACATCTGGATATTTGGGTTAAACTGTTCTGGAACAGTGTTGTAAATAC